GATGGAATGGTCATGGGGATCTGAACTAGGGGAAAGCAGCAGGAATGGAGTAAAATAGATGGCTCTGGAGTGCGTCATGAAGGGAAAAAGAGAGAAGCCCTAAACGACTCCCCAGGTGCCCTCACCAGTCTGTGGATTTTCATGTGCCCAGCAGGACATCTTGTACAACATCAGAACAATTATTGTTTTTTTCACTGCTTACCAGATACCAGGCATTGTACGAGGACTTACCATTTATCTCTTTGAATCTTTATAGTACTTATTTTCCCTGTATTATAGATGAAGAAACTGAGACTCAGAAATATCAGTCACTTGGCTGAGATCTCACAGCCCGTAACCAGTTAATTAAAGATACAAACCCCATTCTGATTGATTCTGGAACCCAGACCCACAGCATTTCCCAGGGTGTGGATTGTGCTCCTCTCATGGGACATGGCAGGCCATTTCTTAAATAGTTATGTAAACATCTTCATGAACATGAAAACAAAACGAGCATATCACATCCATGACTTTATGTCTCACTATCATTCATAATGAGATAAAGTTAAAAAAATAGTTGAAAGCTGATTTAAAGAAAAAATTTGAAGACATAATTGTATAGATCTGCACTATTCAATATGGTAGCCACTAGCCACGTGAAACTATTTACATTTAAATTAATTTGAAATTAAGTTGTAAAAGTTCAGGTCCTCAGTCACACTAGCCACATTTCAAGTGCTCAATAGCCACAGGTGGCTAGTGGCTACCATATTGATTGTGCAAATATGAACACTTCCATCATCGTGTAAAGTTCCATTGGACAGTGCTGCGCTGGGACTGTCTTACACTAGATCAGCGTCTTTTTAGAGTTCGCTCCAGCTCTAAGTTAGTTCTCTTTAGAACTTGATCTGGCTTGGGATAAGCCTGTGTATACCCGTGCTGTCCGATACAGTAGCCACTAATCACATGTGGTCTTGAGCACTGGAAATACGGCTAGTCTGAACTGAAATGCTCTGTAAGTAAAATACACATTGAATTTCAAAGCCTTAGTATGAATGAAGAGTGTAAAATATATCATTAATAATTTTATACTGACTATGTGTTGAAATATTATTTTGATATATTGGATGAAATAAAATGGCTTATTGAAATTAATTTCACTTACCTTATTTAATGTTGCTACAAGAAAATTTTAAATTACATATATGGCTCATGTTATATTTCCACTAGATGTCATTGCCCTGTGACTTGACTCCAGAGTGCTTGCCTTTTCCCTGTCTCTAGATCTGAGCTGCCCAATACAGTAGCCACAAGTCACATGTGGATATTTAAATTTCAATTAATTAAAATTAACCAAAATTTAAAATTCATTTCCTCAGTCACATTAGCCATGTTTCACATGCTCAGTAGCCATGCATGGTTAGTGGCTACCATATTGCACAGCATTGATATAGACTATTTCCATCATCACCGAAAGTTCTATTGGGTAGAGCGATATAGGTTGTACATAGTCATGCCAAAAGCAACAGAGATGGGGCGTGAATGTCCAGAGCTTGTTTCCATGGTGCCTAACTCTGCAGCACATCATCTTCCCATCTCCTAGGTGCCTATCCCTTCCCAGCTTTGCTAGACTTGTTTATGCACACCTTATCTCTTCTTCTTTCCTGCTAGGCCTGTGGAGTGCTTATCTCCCTCTGAACACACTTTCCTCCACACTCCTACACAGTATCTAATAGAATGCTTCGTACAATATAGGTACTCAGTAAATATTTGTTAACTAGTTGGAGTGGCAGTTTCTAGCAAGTGATTGAAAATATATGGCTCAGGCTAGAGAGAGATCTATAATGGCTGGTAGCAAGGGGATAAAAAAGAGAAGGTCAAAGCCTGGTTCCCAAGGAAGAAGGAAGAGGAACTAGGAGAGAGACAGAAAAGAGAGAATCAGAGGGACAGTGGTGAGCTGTGATCTCATACATGTCACCAAAATCCCTCTGCCTGCCCCACATGCCCCTCACAGGCAGCGACAAGAGTTATTGCAGGGGAATTTACAGGGTTAGACAACAGCTTTAGAAAAAGTGCAAAAGAAATCCAAAATATGATTATGTGGTAAATAAACAGGCAAGACCCATCAATGAGAAGGTGAAATGGCGTGAAAATTGAGGGTCTAGTGAGGAGAAAAATGAAAAATGTTCTCTCCCTTGGCCAGCTGGTTTGAGTTACATTTTATGAGCAGCATGTGAATTCCAGCGCCCTTGTTGAATTAGCAGCAGAATCGCACATTAGTTTTAAGGCTCCCTCTCGAATAGAAACATCATAATGCTTTTTAATTGGGGCTGATAAAAACGTAGCATTACTTGTAGGTTCCTGAGAGAAGTGAGTTGTGAAATTGGGTTTTCATTAAATCTAATGATGGAAAATTAAGTATAGTGCGTCTGGTGAAATGGGGTGTGATAAAGGCATCACTTCTGCATTATCGGAGGTTAATAAGGGAATAGGTGAGGTAAGATACATTGCAAAAGGGAGTCCAACTAGTTGATTTAATAAGCCTTGAAAATCCCTTGGTTCCGAGTCTTCATAGCATCATTAGCACCGGCATTGACATTATTACAAATGTTACAGCAATACAAGTTGTTAAATTTCAAATGCAGTTATTTTCCATTCCAGTGTTGGTTTTGCTGACACCAAGTTTACAGTCTGTGTAGCAATGTGTTTAGGGAAAATATCCATTTGGTAGCTTATTTGGTTTTGGAAACATTTGGCATCTCACAAAAATTGCCAGGTTCCCATTCCTAAGAAGCCTGTCTCTGCCAGGCAGCAAGTCTCCCACGTAGCTCATGCCCCAGGACCTGTAGGAGACCATGGGTCTCTGAAGACGTCTGCCCCCTTATGTGATGGTGGCTTAGGTGAGAGACACCCACAGGGCTCTGGGCACTGACTCTGGCTCATCCTCTCCTAAGGATCATGAAGTGCAGCATCTAGAGAAGCAAACTCAAGTGCTTCTTTCTTCTCCATCCCCAACCCCACCACACCGTCACAGGAGTGATATTCGCTGGAAGGGTGCCTCAGATCCATGGCAGCTGGGACACCTACAAGAAATAGTGTGAATCTTTAAAAAGAGAGATTCTTTTCAAAATCCTTCAACGGCTTCCCACTGGCTTGAAGATTCTTATGAATTCACAGCCTTTCTAGACCGACCTCACACTGTCTCTTATAGCTTTATCCTCATCACATTTCCACTCACCACCTTCACTCCACCCCCACCTCCTTGCTCCTACCTAAATGTACTTGGCTTCTCCAGCGTCTGTTGTGCTTCAGCTGGTTCTTCTTGTCTGTCTTCCCTACTAGACCATCAAGCCTTGAGGGTGAAATCTGTAATCTGTGCATTGCCAGTGCCTACCGGAGCCCCTGGCACAGAGTGGGTTCTCAATAAATTTTAACTCCTGATCACAAGGGTGTGATGGAGAAGGGAAGCGGCCCCCACATTTGCCAAGCTCTATATTTAAGCAATGCCATCGAAGAGGTGTTACCTGTTACCTGAAAGCCCAGGAGAAAAAGTAAGCACTATTTTTCTTATGCACAGTCAGGAAATTTTGCATAGGCCTTTCTTCCTTATGCATAAACCTCTATATTCTAGATCTTTCCCTACTAGGAACAGTTTTGCTCATGCTGTCACATGGTAGGAAACTTCCCTTTCACCTACAGAATCAAATGTCTGATGGATTATTGTGACATGAGAGACAAACAAGCTGAAGGAAACATGGATTTTGCAAAGACAAGTTGCAGACAATCAAGAATGTATGCTACAGACCCCCAGGGAGTGAGTACGGCATAGGCCTAGCGGGGTCTGCATTGGTGCCATGCAATGCCTGGAAACATCCAGGGGAGATGCAGTTATCATCTCATGCATGCCACAAATGGGAGGGTCTAAGGCATAGACTGTCCATGTCTTTGAGAGGAGGTTGGGGAGACCAAGCCTAGATAGTTCTGGATAGGATGAAGGACCTGGAAGACCAACAATGTATGCCTGACAGAGAGTTGATAAGGCAAGAACGTAGTTTTACTTGTCCAAGGGGCACAGAGGAATTCAAATCCAACCTCAGCAGAAATCAGTTTCCAGGGTGGCCAAACTAATACACGGCAGTTAAAGCAACTCAGTGGGTATAAAGATTCTTATCAGGGGGAAGTACAGAGCTATGTCAAAGAGAGATTTTATGAAGGAGACGAGGCATAGGACCCAGGCCTGGGAGAAGTAGTTGGCAGGACTGAAGGAAGAGGTTTGGGCTTCCCTATCTGCAAGGTGGGCTCAGCAACACTCCTGGCTCAAGAGTGTTAAGTGGTGAGGAAACTGGACAGTGGGCAGAAGGTGGTCACTGTTGCAGAGCCCATAGCTGGAGAGAGCAGCTAAGAGGGTCAGAGTCCCTGCTGTCTGCTGGGGGTCCAAGACTGGCTCCAATTCCTTCCAGCGTACAACCCAAAGGAAACAAACTAGTAGGGAACCGGGTCACAGGGATGTGGGCAAATGGGCCAGAAGCAGACACGTGGCTCTGATCTCCAGGGACCTGTGGCTCTCTTCACCTGCAGGCGGGCACCAGACACGATTTCCAGGAACCCTACTTCCTAAACAGGAGAGTACTCCCAGTATCCAGCCTTTCTGGCTTCTCACTGGTTCTGGGATTGGCCAAGATTGGCCAAGACAACCCTGACAAGACTGGAGGAAGGACTGAGACAGGCAGGGGATGACAGCCAACCTAGAACTTTGTCTTTCCTCCATCAATATGCACCCTTGAAATAGAAACAAATCAAGGGTTATTGTGTTCATTGGTTTGTTTGCTGTCTTAATTTTTAAATTACCACCACAGCCGTGCCAGGGAAGCAGTGTGTCTCTATTCTTTCTGTGGTTTCCTGATCGATTGAGTCCTGAGTTAGTTCCCTCTGCCCTCCTCAGGTCAAGCTGAGGGAGGCATGGAGGACAGAGGACAAAACTCCCATAGGTGATGGTCTGTTCTGCCTCCTTCTCTCTGAAGCAGATGGCAGCCGCGGGGAGCTGTCCCAGCCCACCCTCACAATCCAGACTCACCCCTACCGGGCCTGCGACCCTGTGGAGATGAGCTATCCTCGGGACCAGTTCCAGCCCGCCATCCGGGTGGCTGATCTGCTGCAGCACATTACCCAGATGAAGAGAGGCCAGGGCTACGGGTTCAAGGAGGAATATGAGGTAAGAAACCAGCCTGTGGGGAAACTTCCTGATGGGTGCAGAGGCTTCATGGGTGCTAAAGCCTTGCTACTCGAAGTATGGTCCTTGGACCAGCAGCATAACCATCACCTGGGAACATGTTGGAAATGCACCATCTCAGTCACCACTCAGACCTACTTAATCAGTTTGGATTCACACCTCCCTTCAATAGGAAGATAGACCAGCTCAAGCCCCCATCCTACATGTTGTAGAAAAGCCAGCAAATCTGCCCCTCCAGTGATTTCTGGGAGGCCTGCTTGCTCCTAGTCACCTCGTGCCTCATTATCATGCTTCTGTTGTGTTCTCAACAGCCCCCAAGTCAATATCTCATCTGGTGACTGTCGTCCCCTCTCTCTGTGTACCTTCTCCTCACCCCTGCATTGGACATCCCTTTCCTTCCTCCCCAAAGCGTCTCTAACGCAAAGGATTTGTGAGTAGCAGTTGTTACTGAGGTTTGGGGAATAACAGGAGGGCAGCAAAATCCAGGAAGCTCCTGGATACGGTTCCTCCTAAGGTTCCGGTCTCCTGTCAGCTCTCTATCCACTCCTCTCCTGAAAGTTCTTTGCAGTATCCTCAGAAGTCCCCCCCTTTTTTTTCCTTTTTCCCAGCAGTCAGGAAAAGAACTCCTACTCTCCCCTACTTTATTATGCAGAACAATTTAGCTCGCTTTGTCTCACTCCTTTTGTTTCAGACCTCGCGCATTAGGCCTCACCTTTTACGAAGAAAAAGTAAAATAAAATAGAACAAAAAACTCATTAAGATGTTTGCGCTGCACTAAAGAGCACCTCACTCTCCAAGAGGAATTTTTCCACCCTCCTCATGCAGATGGAATCCAGCTGCAGCCAACTTTGAAAACAAGCATTTCTTTCTTCACTTTTCCTCTCTCTCTCTCTCTCCTCCTCCCTTCCCAAAATATCTTTCAAATATCTACTGTGTGCCAGGCTCTGAGTTATATGCGCTAGTTTTTTGTGGAGTTTTTTTCACATGCAGCATGTGCCCCAAATATGCTAGGTTCGGTTTCACTGTGCAGTGAAAACGCATTGACTCAGACTCTACACATTTGGAATTCTTGATAATGCAGCCTAAGTTTATCTCTCAGACTGTATTCTGAGACAGAGCTTACAAAGCAGTATTTCAGAAGCTGTGTGAGGTCATGAAATTGTGCTAAACTGGGGGTCCAGACAGCCAGATTCTAACACAACAAACTGTGTGATCTTAGCGTATCATTCTGCTACCTGAGTTTTAAAATTCTTTATTCGTTATGAAGAGTTTAGATAAGGTGATTTCTAAGGGCTTGTCTGGTCCTAAAACTTTACGAGAGTGTAAAACATTAGTGGCAAGGGGTGTGTTTGACACATTTACGAGAACAAAAACATTGATGTCAATGGATGTGAGTGATTACCAGCTCAGGAGAACTAGCAGTTAGTTTCAAATATGGTCCAGGTAAAACAGCATTTTTCATATGCTCTATCTACAAATTTTGGAAGGATATTGGGACAAGAGTTGAAGGAGATGGTCTCCCTTCCTTGGGCCTTATTTCCTAGAGGGTTGGTTGAATAGTCCCAACCCCTTAAATTTGCGGGGAGCTACATGTGTGTGTGCTTATATACACCCATGTAGATCTGTTTGGTGAGTGTCAGGAGAAGGTGTGTTGTTTGTACAGGCATCCTCAGTATCATGATGGCTTAATAAGTCATTACTCATAATATTTAATTTGCTGTAAAGTTTCAAATAGCATTAAGGGAGACATGTGACTTATCAGAAAGGGGCCAAGTAGTCAAAGCCTGAGAAACACTGTTCTAAGAATTTGCAATCTAAAATCTGAAGACAAAAATACAAATACATTTGACTGCTTTGGCACATTTCCTTCCAGAAAGGTATCTCTTTCAAAAGCATCCACATGTGTGTGGTGGGATTAGGTTTATTTTGAGCCTGGAAATGAACTGCTTTTATAGTGAGAGAAAAACGATACATGTTGTTCCATCATTTGGACCTCAACCAGAAATACTGCTAACTAGACTAGCCTTGCCCTTAATTAGTTCAAATTATTTTAATCAGTTAACTGGAATGCTTAGCTTCTAGTTAACAGCATTCTCTGATTAACAGGAGGTTAATTGGAAAGCATTTCTTAATGGGAGTCTTTCCACAATGTGCTAGTCCATGTTCCTAGACTACAGGTGGATATGGGTTTGATCATCAAGGATCCTGTGACGTCTGGAATCTACATAGGGAGCATAAGAGTCACAAATCTGCTTGAAGACTGTGTCCTCTTGTAGACGTGAAACTCCTGGATCTCCAGTCCCTCTCTCAAACCAACATGCTCTGTGCTATTTGTTGCTTGTTACTCTCCTACCCTGCTCAGCTTTTTCATACAACTGAGTGAGTTTGATGTGTCAACGTATAAGGGACCTCTCAGTTACAGCAACCTGTGTCTTCTAAAATTCAGTTCAGTTGTATAATCACTTACAAATTTGTTCATTAAATATTTACTGAGTATCTACTATTCCCAAGGACTGTTCTAGATATTTGGGATACAACAGTGTACAAAATAGACAAAGATCCATGCCCTCAAGATGCTTGTGTTCTAGCAGAGGAAACAGGAACTAAACAAAAGGCTTCCAACTAAGTAAGTTGTTTTACAATAACTTACCTAATGTAATATATTCATAAATAATGTAGTATGTTAGACAGTGAAAAATACTGTCTAACAGTATTACAAACTACCCAAATCTTAGCAACATAAAACAACCAATTTATTGTGCTCACTATTCTGTGGATCAGGAATTTGGACAGGGCAAAGCAGCAGTGGTCTGTCTCTGCTCCACGCTGTCTGAAGCCTTAAAGGCTCTAAAGCTAGGGACTGAAGTCATCTCAAAGCATCTTTACTCACGTGTCTAGGGATTGATGCAGGCTATCATCTGGGATCTCAGCTGGGATTCTCATCTGGAACACCTACAGGTGGCCTCTTCAGATGACCTAGGCTTCCTCACAGCATGGTAGCCTCGGTATAGCTAGACCTCTTACCTGGTGGCTCAGAACTCCACAGGTGAGCTCCCTAGCTAACAAAGTGGAAAGTGTATCACCTTTGTGACCTACACTTGGACATCACACAGCATCAGTCTTACCATATTCTATTGGTTGTAAGTAAATAATAACTGCATACATTTAAGGGAGGGGAGTTAGACTCCATCTCTTGATGGAGGGAGGGGCAGTTGCAAGATTCTAAAAAAGAATATGGAACAGGAGATATTGGAAAATATAATCTTTGGATAATACAATCTTCTACAAGTACCATTGTAAAAGAAAGAGTAGAGCAAGGAAGGGAGATAGATAGTGTATTCCATGGACATAAGGTGAAGGAGGTTTCAATGTTAAGTAGAGTAGAAAGGTTGTCCTTAATTAGAAGATAAGATTTGAGCAGAGACATGGTGGAAAATATCTAGAGGAAGAGAGTTCCTGATCAAAGGAGTAATACATCTGCCGTGTACAAAGAGGAACAAGGAGGCCCAGGGTGGCATGAGTAGAGTGAACAAGAAGTAAAAGTAATAGATGATGATATTGGAGAGATAAAGGGGGCCTGACCGTATACTGCCTTACAAGCCATTATAAGACTTTGGCTTTTACTCTGAATGAAACGGAAAGCCACTGCAGAGTTTTGAGAAGATAAGTGATAGTTACCTGACATTATTTTGAAACACTCATTCTAGCTACTGTGTTAAGCATAGACACAGGAAGGCAAGAATAAAAGCAGGGAGACCAGTGAAGAGGCCACTGCAGTAACCCAGGTGAGAGACGATGGTGACTCAAGCCAGGGTGTGGCAGTGGAGGTGCTGAGAAGTGGCTGGATTCTGAATATATTTTAAAGATAGAGCCAACAGGATTTCCTAACACATTAGACATGGCATGTGAGAGAAAGAGAGGAATCAGGGGTGACTCCAAGGCTATTACTTGAGCCACTGGAAGGATGGAGTTGCCACCAACAGCGATGGGGAAGCTGCAGGTAGAGCAGACTTGGGATCAGTGGAGCATTGGGAGTTTTACTTTGAACAATTACACATCTATTAGACATCTTAGTGGAGATGGAATGTAGCTAGTTGGATATATGAGCCTGGAATTTGGGAAAGAAGCCTGGGCTGGGGAGAAAACTTTGCGAGTCATTGACATATAGATGATATTAAAGCCACAAGACTTTTCCAAGTCACCAAGCAAGTGAGCATAGACAGAGACAAGGACCAAGGACTGAGTCTTATAGAATTTCAACTGGAAGATGTCTGAGCACTTTCCAGAGACCAGGCATGGTACTAGGCTCTAGGAACTGAGGAGATGAGGTGAGATAGAGCCCTTGCCTTCTGGGGACTGAGAGCCTATTCTTAGAAACAGGTATATAAACTGATCATTTCAGTTCAATATCTTGGCAAAATGTCACAGTAGAGGTAGACCCAGAGTGCTCTGGGAACCCTTCAGGTGGCATGCATGAAGCCTAGCCTGAGGATGGATGGCCAGTGCCTTTCTGAAAGACATAAAACCTAAACCAAAGCTTGAGAAATAGGAATAACCAAATGAAAGCAGGAAGGGTGTTTTAAGCAGAGGGACTAGAATAAGCTATGGCATGAGGGTGTTTACAATAGACTGAGTTAGGAGAACCAGAAGCAGTTTGGTACATAAACGATGGAAGGGAGCTTGGAGGGAGATGGGCTGAAATTGTTAGTAGGGGAGGGCATGGGGTGAGGGCAAGGGGACATTTGTCAGGCTAAGGTGTTTGGATTTTATTCCAGGGGCCATGGGGAGCCATTGAAGGGGGCAGGATTTTTTAAGCTGGATTTGCATTTTAGATGTAACTATCTGGCATAGACAGGTTTTAGCAGAGCTTCCAGTGTAAGACAGACTAGGAAGAAGGAACCTGCCACCCACCTGCAAAAAAATTGGCCATGAAAACCCTAAGAACAGCAGCAGAGCATTGTCCGATATAACACTGGAAGGTG